ATATATATATATATATATATATAATTATAATTATTGAATCCTAAATTATTTTCTTATTAGCTCGAGAGTTAGAGCTTCGAGAGAAAAATAAATGGAATTATAGAATTAGAGGGAATAATTTCGTAACCGCCTAAATAACTGAATCGATTGTTATCTTCGTGTCGAACATCTCTGTCGACCGACCATCTGATTGATTCCATGGAGGATGCTAGTCGAGGAGTGTAATTGCCCGACCAACTCCGAATGAGGTCGGTCGATCGATAAGCGTTGACCGACCAACTCCGCATCTCGCTTCAGTTGCCCGAAACTCCATTTCAACCATTGATCTTTTGAGATTCGTGCTAACATTTTTGTTGCGCATAATAAATAAATAAATTTATTTATTTATATATAAAGTTTTAATATTCGGCAGTAGGTGCATGCTGGGCATATTTGGTGACATTTTTCACTTGATTTAGGTAAGATTTGGCTGCAGTCACTGTACTGACATCTAATAGATTTTGTTAGACTTTAGATGTTGCTTTTGATGAAAATATTTTTGATATAAATATAGGATTTATGAAATTGAGTTATTCATAATATTTTATAAGTTTAAGAATTTCTTACTTGCCCAATGAATAATGAATCATTTTTTGAATATGAGATGTAATAGTTATTAACGATGGCTTAATTCAAAATTAATTTATTTGTATTTATTTTTCATATAAAATATATTTTTGATGCGTACGAGAGAATTCGCGACGGTTTAGTGATAAATTAATATCTTAGTATAACACACATTCATGTAATAGAAATGATGGGCAAAAATACTAAATATTTTTTTACGGAAAACTGAGGAAGGAAAAGAACCATGGGGTCTGATTCGGTTGAAAATATCTACTATAATTTGGTAATTACAGATACAACTTCTTGTCCCACAAGAGTGAATGAGATACACAGTCTCCCGAGCTAAAACATCGTATGCGGATGGCAGTAAGAAGGATTGCAAGAGAGAGTAATAGTCAGGGCTTCAATGTACAATCTTCAGGGGCAACATGACATCTGAGATGATAGCGTCGCTTCGTAGATTGTTTCGTACGATGCTTCATCAAATATGTCCGAAAAGCTTTCAAAAATAATTTAATGGTTTGATTGAGGTTTGGTTTTGTTTGAATTTGACCAATTTTGGTATTATTGGGTTCATCTCGTCGAGTCAGTCAATTTAACTGTAAGTTTATTGAAATCAAAACTATAAATGAATTTTAATTAAAACTTGAACATTTATTGCTCTAAAGATTGCACCAATATCCATGCAACATATCGAGATTTGTCTCGAATGATGAGAATTTATTTATTGAAATAAAACATTTGATTATTTATTTGAGAATTTAATGCTTGTGAGTTGTGGGAAGCATAAATTCATAAATCAATTAAAGTTTACAAATGAGCAGATCTAAGAGATCCTATGTTTAAATACTAATGAAGCTGTAAATTTATTTTTATTAAAAATATTAGCTTTTAAGGTTTTCAAATTTTCAATTTTTTAATATTTTAAATAACCTAATAAATACATACCTTTTTTTATATTTAATTTTTAACGACTAAATTATTAATTATGAATTAATAATTTAGTCATATTGGTCAGATACAGGATTGAGGTAAAGATTGACTTTAATTACTGCCATGAAATTGAATCTAATTATATATATAAAGTAATGTTTCATTAAATTGGATTAGTCTTAAGAAACTTTTGAATATATTTTTTCATATAAAATGTATTTTATTAAAGATTTGATTGTTATGTTTGTAAATATGAAAGTTTAGGTGCGAGAAATGTAAATACATAAGAATTGAGTGTTAGGCATGTAACTTTGCATGACGTTGCTCTAAAATTAAGTTTAACACATGCTGAGCTTAATTCTTTGATCATTATTACCTTCAATTGATTATATTTTTAATATGTTTTTTATATATTTGGTAGATGATATTTATGTTGGATTAATAAATTTTCATTTAATATCAAACAAAGTTAAAATTTAATCATTTTTTTTACCTTCATAATGATAACAAAACTGAAGATTTACATACATGCCACTCAATTTCTTTGTATTTACATATATGACATCTAAAATACATTTTAAAAATATGTATCACCTTACCTATCCAGAAGAAATTAGTTCGAGAGATCCAAACCAGAACTTTGAACAGAATTGCATAAAGCTAGAAAACATAAAACGTGCCAAAAATACAAGATTTAACGTGAAAAAACCTAAAAACTAGAATAAACAACTTGTTGTGGTATATATATAAAATATAACAATCGAGACGAAGCGAAAAATAAAGAGAGAAATTTCTCAAAACCAGAAAACACAGCCTAACACACATATTTACGTGATTCGACAAAATGACAAGAAACGTAAAATTTACACCATACTCGAGTCTCTCCACTCTTTAGACATTCGAGAACAATAGCACTTCTCCCACTTACAAAAGTGAAATCGAAATCCTTCACAAAGTAAATCGCAGAAAGAACTGAATTCCGTATCGTGTTGCCACAACACTGTGATGTAGCATTACGTCGCTCTAATATGTAGCACCAGGCATCGTGTTCATGGATTCTGAAATTGGGTTGGGCACGACGACACCAACTTCTCGCCATTAGCGTTCTAACTTACGGGACTGGTATAACGACGAGATACTATACACAAATTCACCGTACAGTTTGATCAGTGAAATTGAGGGATCTGAGATGAGAATTAGTTGACACAATAAGACTCTACATAATTACAATAAATCTTAAAAGCAAATTATAAGTGTTAGAAATGTAAATACACAAGCATTGGGTGGTATTTATGTAAATGCCCCTAATAATTATATATAATAATAACTTTAGGTGTGATGTTTTGTATCATTTCCTTTTCAAGACGACATTTTTAACACTCTAGAAATCTGAGTGCAAATATATACATTGTAATACCTTTACTTTAATCGAATTGCAGATTACCCCCTACATATTTCCATTTTATTTCAAATTGTTTATAACAAAATATAATTTTTATCAGGATGAGCTGCTATGGGGAGCTGCATGGCTACGAAGAGCCTCTCAGAACGACTCTTTCCTCAACTACATTCAAAACAACGGCAAAACTCTTGGAGCTGAAGACAACATAAATGAATTTGGATGGGACAACAAGCATGCAGGCCTCAATGTTCTGGTCTCTAAGGTATGTCCTAACATCCAAAAAATGTAAGAAAGAGTTACATATATACCCCTCAATTCATATTTATTTAGACATCTAACACACCCAAAACTTCAATTTTTATATACATATGTACCATCTTACCTATGCCTTACATTTTTAAATGAGAGTGTTTTGGATGTGATATGAAATATTTGAATGGTATAAATGTAACAAGCAAAGTTTAGGGGTTTGATATGTAACTACACATAGGAATTGGGTGATATGTATGTATGTAAATGCCCCTTTGTTATTTACATATTTATATACATACATATCATTCAATTTTTATGTATTTGTATATCTAACGCCCAAACTTTAATTTTTAAGTACATAACCACTTTAACTATGCATTGCAATGTGTATTTCACTTTTTAAAAGTAGAAAAAGATGTTAATTTTGGATGTGATATGAAAGATTGAAATGGTATAAATGT